TGTCGATTGAAAAAGTTTGAGTAGTTACTGTCAAAAGTTTGTCTATAAATGCCTAAATGCTCTGTATGATTAAAGTGATGAATTGCTCTATAAATGATTAAAAAAGAAGAGAACAGAAAAAATTAAAATTTCAATCTAAGCCCACTGGTGAGTTGTGCTTTTTTTTCAGAAGATGCTGTGGCCACCCCATGAGGCCCCTCAGGGCCCCTTGGGATCAGTGGACGTTTTGCTGACCCTCTTGTGTCGTTCCCTGCATTTTTACAAATAACCAGCAGATGGCTCTATAACACAGTGAGAGGCTGTGCTAAGCATCTGCTGTCGCAGTGTTTTCTCAATGTGATGTCTGTGGATATTTTATAAAAAGTGAAAATGTTATATCTCTTCTAAATGTTAATAATGATAAAACAAATAATAATAACAACAATGACAATCAGAGCATAAGAAGTAAAATGTTATGTTAGACAATAAAAAAAAATCAAGGTGATCAGCAAAGAGGAGAAAATTAAGTTTTTACTTCCGAAGATATTTTATTGAATCAATTATATCCCAGAGATTAAATATTAAAAGACTATTAGCAAATCAATATTTTGGCAAAAATCAACAGATTTCTTTGAAGTCACTGGTACATTATAAAACTAAAACACAATAGTATTTTTATTTAATAAAGACCCTAACCTCATTATGCATGGACAACAATAAGCTCAAAAGTTTCTCAGAATTTTTAGCTGCGATGATAACATTGTTTGCAAAGCATGTCATGCAATTATAAAGAACTGTGGCAATAACCAGATAGACTTTCTAAGTTACAGATGCATTTTTTTCCCTTGTACACATAACAAAATTGTGACTGCACATCTTTGAAAAGATTTCCCTTAATATTTCCTGTGACTCTGCTGTTGACATTCAGACTAAGTTCAAATAAAACCAGACCATATCAATGTAAAAAAATAAAACCAAATTAAAGAAACACTTTGTGATAATGTTTTAAGGGCCTTCAAGTTAGAGAGATTGAGAATAGTTCCACAGATGTTTGTGAAATTGAAAATGCAGTCTGCTTACACTTGAGCCTATGTTCTTTAATTTCATACACACCAAGAATGCCCCAATTTAAAGTGAAAGTACTCAAGAGCCTTCTACTGTTAGTACTCGATCCTTAATAGTTCTCTAAATGTTTGATCTTATATAAATCATATCTTTAACGGAACTAATGGCCTTGATATTGGATATTTTCCCATTCCCCCTGGCTCATAGATCTTGTGTGGTCAATTTCCATCTACTGAAAATCACTTCCTACCGAAGAAGGAAGTCATTTTTTTTTCTGACACCCTGAAACTTCCTGTTTTTCTCTTTTCTTCTCTTCTATAAAACAAATACACACAGTAGATATGGAAGCTTGCTTTATAAGCCATTTGCATTTTTTCCAGATTCACAAAGCATACATTTTGTTTAGATTGGATTTTTATCTTCAAAGAGCAACAGCTGAACAAGTTTACTGTAAGGTTTAACATGCTTTACTCATGCGGTATTCATAGAACATGTTAGATTTGGCTTTTTTATTACTTTGGTTAAAGTGAATCTGCCAAGTTGCCAAAGTGAAAAACAAGCACCACTTGTGGTTTGGTACCTGACATAAGAAGTTTAACCAAAGTAAATCTCTGATGTCTTTAATGCGCAGTCACTGAAAATTAAGTCATACAGAAGAGAAAAGGTGCAAGCTCTTCAACTTCCCCTGGCTGCACATTCACCTGTTTTTTACTATCTCTCTGTAAAGCAGTTCCTTAAATACACCAAATGAGCCCTTGCCCTACTTTCTGCTATATTTACAGACATATTACTGTTTTTTAGCATTCTTTTATACCCAGTTTCTCACATATTCATTAAACGCAACCACAAGAGCCACAGTCTGTCTCTCTCTCATCCCTTTCTCCCATTTGTGAGTGGCC